ATGTAAATCCTTGCTTGTTTGGTCCCTGCAGGTGAGAACAAAACCTTGAAAGAGATTTTTCCATACTGGATAGAATTGAACTGCTGGATAGCTCAGTGACTATCCTCTACTGTGCCCTCTTGTTTTATAAGCAGCTGGATTGTTCATCACAGCAATGGCTCCCACACTCCACAGTCACGAGAAGGATGTTCTTTGGTCATTCTAAAACCATTGTTTTTTGTCAGCCTTGGTGACGGCTGCTTCAGATCCGAGGGCAGCTCTTGCTAGGCAATATTGTATCTACTCCTGTCAGCAAAGATTTTTATAATTTGGATCTGCTTAGAAATTTGGGGCTTTCCCACCTTGAAGTTATGGAAAAATTTTAAAAATTATCCCATCATCTCGAGCAGATAAAATCCATCTTTATCTCTACTATAAGTGGCAAGGCTGTGATTGAGAGACATGGGTTATATCTACTCTGCAATACACCCTGTTACACTTACTTTGTTGTGGAGAGATAAGCATACAGATGTAAATCCTTGCTTGTTTGGTCCCTGCAGGTGAGAACAAAACCTTGAAAGAGATTTTTCCATACTGGATAGAATTGAACTGCTGGATAGCTCAGTGACTTTGGTCTCTGACTGCAGCGTGAGAGGTTTGGGAGTTCAATTCCCCCCTACACCTCCTTGAGAGGGGCTGGACTTGATGATCTAAAGCAGTGGTCCCCAACCTTGGTCCTCCAGATGTTCTTGGACTTCAACTCCCAGAAATCCTGGCCAGCAGAGGTGGTGGTGAAGGCTTCTGGGAGTTGTAGTTCAAGAACATCTGGAGGCCCAAGGTTGGGGACCACTGATCTAAAGGGTCCAGCTCTGCTGTTCAAAGGTGGTGGTGGTGGTTCTTATTCTTATTTACAACAGTTTTGTGCATATTTTCTAATTTTGAGATTTTTAGTGAAGTCAAGAATCCAGCACTCTGAATTTGTAAAAGCTTCTCTGCTGGAAACTAGTAGGAGTTAACCTTATAGATTAGCAAGCACATAGCAGTTTAAAGCACTGTCAATCTGTATTTAGAATAGCGGAGACGTCAGTTCAAGCTTGCGGAAATCTGGAGAATACAAATCACTTAATCATTTTTAAAGGTTGGTCTTGTTCATCCCCATTAACATGTTTTACTTTCCCTTCATCACTTGTCATTCATTTGCAGCCTGTTGTATAAGGACATATAGACTATTTTTTCTAAGTCCCCCCCCCCCGTGTGATTATTTTATCTCCTTCCAGCTAACTCAGGACTTCAGTGCTGAAAAGGAAGTTTGGGACAGTATATCTTTTTATTTTAAAAAATGGTTAAATAAAGGTTGCGTTAGAGAAAAACATATGGTATAAAGACTCGTAAGCTTCTATAAAATAGATATGTGGAATTTAAGCATAATAAATTTATGGCTGAATGCAAAAAAAGAAAGCAAAACAAACAAACAAAAACAAAAAACAGGGGGAGCCTCACAGGAAAAATGATTTTTCTGATTTGCGGACTGCAAAGCTGGATGCCTCTACCTTGTTCTAGTGCTGCTTGACTGAAATGCCTAAGACGGGCTCAGCCTCTTGGCCATCTGGGTTGGAAGAACAGAATGTGGTGAATGTATGTACATAGCAAATTAACCCAAACAGCCCTATGTGCATATAATTTCAATATGGCTTCAGTAAGGTTTATTGAATTTCAGTAAGGTGTTAGCGGAGGAAGTCTCTACTTACCTAGTACCACAGAACCACAGACTTTCCTCTTCCTTCTCTGTCGATCTGGCTGCAAAAAGAGGAGTTATATTTTAGAGTTTAATGTAATATCAGCAGGCGCACAGCTTGCAAGGATTTGCGTGTCTGAAGAGAAAATGCCATATGAGGAAATACATTGTTCCCCTAATGAATGATTTTGTTCTCAATTATCAGAGTCAATTTGAGTTGCTGGTTTGTTTTACAGTATATTTCTGGGAACTGGCAGTAGCTCTTCAGGTTTTTAGATCAGAGGCTGTACCACAACCCCTCTCACCTGGCTTTGCACTGATGGCATGCTCTAGCAGGGTTTTGTCTCCCTTCTTCCCAAAAGAAGAAGTGGGATTCTGGAAGGCCTAGTTCAAAAAGTATTATTTTTTTTCAGCCACCAGGGATCCTATTTGCCAACCATTTATTTATTTGATTCTTAATACTTGTACCCTATGCATTTGTTGTTTTATAATAATTTCTGTAGTGAAGGCTTCCTAATATGTGTCAGATTAATGGCTCCATTGCTTGAAAAGTAGAGAGATCATGTGTGAGTCTCTTAAGCTTTTAGTTTACTGCATTCAGTGAATAAACAAAACTTACAATGACCTGCTGGCTTTGAAAGTAATATGGTAGGAGAGGAAAATACAAGTCAGTTTATTTGCTGCTCAAGGCAAAGAGCTGAATAGTGAGGATTTTTCTCCCCCTGTCTGCCTCCTCTTCCCACTTCTTCATAATTCTTTGTCCCCAGTCATGAATAGTGGTGGTCTAACCACATTTTTCATTTCCTCCCACTGCGAGCCTGGAGCCCTTCTTCTCTCTTCCCCTTCACCTCTTATTTAACCTTCAGTGAGGCCAATGCAAACATTTTTAAAAGATTTATTTCAAGTAGCTTCTAACATTTGGCATTCGCATTAAGACCTCCAAATCTTACTTTGTGCTTGTATCTGAAGTGCAATGGGAAATCCTGGATTCAGTTTTGTAGTCTGTGCATCCTTCAAACCCTGAACAGATTCTCCTGTTTTATACCCTTTTCTGACATATTTTCCATTATGGAGTCTTAGGCAACAAGTGGAAAGAACTATATTAACTCTGGAATTTTTTTTTCCAGTTTTGCTTGATTTCATGGTCCTTATATATCTGGAAGACACATGGGTGATGCATGTACATGGTTATGAAAACATCTGGCTGGATAGCTCAATCAGTTAGGTATCTGGCTATGGATCCAGAGTTTGGGGGTTAAATTTCCCACTGAGACTCACGGGGAAGAGCCAGCCTGAGTAACATTGGGCAAGCTGCACTGTCTCAGGGTTCCCCCAGAGGAAGGGAATGGTAACCACTTTTGAGTACTCTCTACCTAGAAAATCCAGAAAAGGGTCACCATGAGCCAGTGTCAGTGATTTTCCAGCTTTAAACCTTTCCCACTCCTGTTTTGCAGGTCCTGCAGGCTGTCCGAGGTCAAAGGGGTTCCCTAGGGATCTCCAAAGTCTGGGGAGAGGGGCTCTAGGAAAATTTCTACTCTCCTGAAACAGCTGTGACAAAATTAGGCAAAATTATTATGGATTGTTTGTTGTGGAGGTAACAGTTGCAGTACCAGATGGGCTGTTATTGGTTGGTGCTCATGGATTGCATTTTAAGAGGTTTCACAAGTCCTTTCCCTTATTATTCTGAATACCACAACAATTTTAAAATTGGTTATTTTGGAACCTTTGGAGTTTTGGCATTCCAGAAACCTAAAGGAATGTCCAAACATAGCAATTGACTAAACAACAGGGGAATTCGCACACCTACTGCTCCCATCATAATACACTGAACTGCAGCACAGGCCAGAGTTGGCACAGAAGTCGGGGTAGGCGGCAACAGTTCTATGATTTCAAAAACAAAGATCCTGATTACTTTCATATCTTAATTTTTACTTGATATTTTTCCTCTTTGTACCAGTGACTTTGAAAACAGAGCTGAACCGAGCGTTCAAAAGAAAAGGAGAGCAATATGAAGAATGGGGGGAAAACAGTTTAACCACTAATTGAAGGTTTTTAAATGACTTTTATCTGTGACCTGGGCAAACCTAAGCCCTTTGGAAGTTAAACCTTGGTTCTCTAATCTTGGGAATTCAGCTTAAAGCGATATTAAGCTTACAGTCTCTCCCTCTTGTCTCAGATCTGAAGCTCTGAAATCTTCTCACAAAGGCCATTTTATTCCACTTCCAACTTTGGAGGTACAGTATGACCCATGTTCTTCATCTCTCTCCTTCTTGGGCCTCTGCATTGTTTAGCAATTTCCTAGTTTTGTGGTATTGCTAATATTTGTACCCTCTCATATTAGTCTTACAGTGGGTTGACCAGTGATGAGACTGAGGTTGGGGTCCGTGATCCTAAAAAAAAAACGTTTTTCCCAGTCTGTAAGCATGGCTGCTTATTGGGACTTACTGTCTGGAATATAACTGCCTTGGTTGTATTGGCTCTAATAGTTATTATCAGTCAGTTTCCAGATGCAATTCAGAGGTTTTGTGTTGACTTTTTAAAGCCCTAAAGAGTTTAGGATCCGTGTATCCAAAGGAGTGCCTTCCCCCTTATATTCCTGCCCAAATGTCATGCTCATTTTAGAGGCTGTCTTCTGTTACTTTTGCTGCTCCAAGGGATGCAGACAGTTACCAAAGAAACAGCCTCTCTGCAGGGACATTCCTTCCCTGGAGAGGCCCTCTGAGCCTCTTCCTTATTTACGGTCCGATGCCATGCTAAGATTTTCCCCTGCTGGTAGGTTTTGAATCTTTAATTTGTTGACTTTTAGTTATCATTTGCTGGCTTTAAAAATAGTTCTGTTTTAATGTTGAAATTTACTGTGGCATTATTTGCTTGGGTTTTTTAAATGGCTATAAACTGCTTTGAAGGCATTTGGCTATTGAGCATTATATAAATTTAACAAGTATATATTCTGCCTGTTGATGTAAATAAGCTTCTTTACCATTATGAATGATACATTAAGACAGTTTCCTTCTTGGCCATTGCTGGGTTCTGGTGCACAAGCTGGATCCGTGCCTTACATTCTTCAAGCCTGTTCAGGACATGCTGCAATCTGAAGGTCTTGACAAAGCTAAAGATTCTGATCTGAAGTTAAACAATGGCATTGTTTGCCGGCTTATGTAATTTTTGTCCCGTGTTTATAGCCTTGAGCTTTTAATGCACATGTATTTCTAGGCTGAGAGAAAGCAGTTTGCAATGTACGTCTTGTGACTGATCATTCATGTGCCACGCTCCTTTCTTGTGACAGGTTGCTGAATTCGATAAAGCCTGGATTGATTAGAAAGATCAATAGACTGCCAACTCCCATTGCAGGACTGGTGAGTATTTGTAACTGAGATGTTTTAGCTGTCTTGTTTACATCCCTGTGTTGTAGTGGCACTGTTTCTAACATCTGTTCCAACAAGGTAATATGAATGAATGAATGAATCTGTCTTATAAAACCTGGGCAGCAGCATCACTACATGGCTTCTAGTGCATTGTCTTGGGAGCGATTCCAATTAGGGCTGTCACCGGGCCAATTTTAGATTGGCCTAAGCTTTTTACATTACACAGACAGGATATTTTTAGGACAAAATAATTGGAGAATAATTGTAAAATCTGCATGTGAAATAAAGAAACTGGAGATGCAGACATCTGTTTTATATTTATGTGAATAAGCAATATACTGTAAAGGATTTTCCCCCAGGAGATTCAAGAATTCTGATTCCACTCGTGACTTATCCAGATTTATGGAATCATTGATAAATCAGTTTTAACGATATTACACTTAGCTTCACTGTCAACTAGTTATTGATTCTTCTGTCTCAACCTCCTCCTTATGGTTACTTTGATCATTTTTATATATCCATGACTGTCTTCTTATCATCTCATTATGGGTTGTTCATAACCTTATTCAGGCATTATGACTCAAAGCATGTAGGGCTCAAGGGCACACATGTTAAGTGCTGCACTCAAGTCCCCACCCTTCTTGGAAGCCATGCAAACATTTGTCCTGTAATAATACAAAGGTTGATGTGACTTCTGGGTGGGATGAGGACATAGGGGCAGGTCTCTCCTGTGTCTTTGTATAGACAATAATAATAATCTTAGAACTGCAGAGCTGGAAGGGACTCTATAGATCATCAAGTCCAACCCCCACAGTGGGGAATCAAATTCCCAACCTCTGGCTTCACAGCTGGATATCTACAACCTTTTGAGCTCTGCATATTTCCAGGCTCAGTGCTTCAATGATGTTGATACTTTGAATTAGGGATCTCTTCCATCCAGCTCTTCCCTGTGGACTAAAATGCCATTTTAATGGGAACCACCATGTAATAAAGAGTAACAATTGAATAAGTCCAATTGCCAGCCCAAACTAGAGCTGACCCATTGAATGACTGGAACTTGTTAAGTCAACATTTTTGCAAGTACTGTTGATTCAGTAGGTCTGTTCTTTCTAATTTGGATGAACTCTTGGATTTAGCCCAATATTTTTTAATGGAAACGTTGAGATGATTACTTTTGACACATGGCTGCTGTGATACTCTTCAGATAATTAATGTCTAGAATCTTTTCTTCTGCTTTGAAGTGGAGCTTGGAAAAAAGCTCCTTTTTTGGATTACGGTTCTCAAAATCTTCAAAGCAGAGAGATTTTAAATTCTCTTCTTTGGCCCACGGTTCACAAAATCTCTCAGCCAGCATAGCGATGGCGGCCTGGGAGATTTTGAGAGTTGCAGTCTTAAAAAAATGAATTTTTCAAAACTTGTCTTCGAAGGATTCGGCTCTGTGTCCTGATCTGAATGCATATTCATTCAGTGTTGCTTCTAAGCAAAATGTGAGCATGCTTGCATTCTTATTTTGTGTCAATCTATTATATACCGGATTTTTAAATTGAACTTCTAGCTATAGTAGGACCCCCATATCCACGGGATCGGTATCCGCGGTTTCATTTATCCATGGCTTGCTACAGCCTTATATACAACATACAAGGATGTGTGCTTGTGGCTTTTGTCCTGCCCCCTTGCATATTGTATGTAGGGTCCCCTCATATCTGTAGTTTCAGGCGTCTATGGTAGATCATGGAACCAATCCCCTGCAGTTATGGGGGTTCTGCTGTATTATTCTTTTAAATTACTGGCCATTTACTGAAGAACGGTGTGGTACATTTGATGGATTTTAGGATAGAAAGTAGTGCAATGATGCTTGATTACCATCTACAGCGTATTGAGGCATTCCTCCCCACCTCATAGACAGAACAAACAGATGGAGGAGGAAGCAAGACTGTACTATACCTCTAGTCCTTATCCCTGCTATCCCCTTAGCCATTAGAGACAGGACAAGGGGCATGGCCTTAATTCTCCCTCCAAGTTTTAACAATTTCCCTTTTCCCTACCTTCCCTAGTCTCTTGGAACTGTGCGATATACTCCAGGAAGTGTTCTTGTTTCAGCCAGAGGAAGCCATTATTAAAATGTGTAAACTTTGAAGTATTATTTGTTCTGTAACCCTCAATAGATTAATCACAAGGTTTACATATTGTGGGTTGCTCTGGCTGAAACAAGAATATTTTCTGGAACATATCATACAGTTCTGAGAGACTAAACTGAAGGTGGGAAGCCATTCTGGAGAGTGCCTTGTGTGAAATGTGGGGACTCAGGGGTTAACGGAATAAATTGTTGTAATAATGCATAATAGAAACCCCTAGTGCAGCTAGTGCAGCTATGTGTCATGCAGAAGCAGTCATTCTCTTTTGCTGAGACAAATTGCAGGCTCTTCATGAGGATGTGAAATAAGGCCGATGACATTGTAAGATAGTGAGGATGCTTCGATATGACGTTGGCATGACTCAGATCTTAAAATGCAGGATTTATATCAGGAAAATGGTGCTGAATTCTCTTCCTCTACCTTGTATTTGCCCTAAAAATTGACTCCCTGATCCACTCTTGGGCCAGCCATATGTCTCCTGGCTTGGTTTATTTTCCAGCTTGGAACCCAGCTGGAGAAATGTTCCTGGATGAGCCTCTGTGGAGAACAAAGCATCAGTGCTACTCTTTCTCAGCTTTAAATGGTTGTTCCTCACATCTCTGCTGCAGATCTGGCTTCTAAGAGCCATTCTCAATGGGGGCCATATAGCCCCTGCAGGCTTGGGCACATTTGAAGGGGGCCATAGACTGGAGATAATTCTTCACATACCACCTAATCAGGTCCATTAGGTGACTTATACAATACTGATTCAGTTTTTATTTCTTTCATATTGCGTTTATGGCAGAAAAAGGTTGAGAATGACTAGGGGGTGCTGACAAGTATTGAGCCTTATCCAGAAAAAATTGAGCTAGGAAGCTGTAACTGCCACACTATTCTACATATTCCCCCCAGGAAGTCAATGCACTTGCGACATCTGTCCTGCAGCTTCTTAAGTCCCTGCAAATAAAATTCTTCCGATTGCTGGTGTAACCACTCATTTGCAGCATTAGTTGCCTCCAGAACACTCTCAAATCGTTGTCCCTTTAGGTGTTTTTTGAGTTTGGGGAACAGATAATAGTCAGAAGGAGCCAGGTCGGGAGAATAGGGTAGATGGGGCATCACTTGAAAGCCTAAGGA